ACTAACACATTTCCTTGTCTAAGCTTCTAAAATTTAAATTCCTTTTGTGTCCTCAAACTACTTGGAAAATACTTATCAAGGAAAGTAGTTTTAAAACATTCCCAATTTCTTGGAATTCCCTGATTAGTCATAAGGGTCGAGGAACTATCCCACCACCTAGCAGCAGGAACCTTCAGCGTATGCAGAAAAAAAGTCACTTTGTTCTCGTCACTACAAGGCACAATCTAAAATATTCTCTCCATATTAGACAACCAGTCATGAGCCTTCAATGGATCTAAACTACCTTGAAATTCAGGAGGATTCGTCTGAAAGAAGTCCTTAAAGTTTCCACCTGGAGAAACCTATGGAACAGGTGGTAGTTGATGACCATCAATCGTTTGTTGCATCACATGTTGGATAAACTATAGAAACTGTGGTGACCACTGAGTACCATTATCTTCAACTATCAATTTTGATTCCTCATTCCATGTTTTAGGCCTTTCGAGATCTCTGTGTTTGTAATTTATGCTCCTAAATTTCATACATATATAATTAAGTTGATTAGGCTCAATACTATAATACATGACATCGAGGAAAACAAAGACAATTAAACATATGACGCATAAATTGTTTTACTTATGATGTTTCACGGTCGAATCGAGAATTGACCTGTTGTGATACCTATTCTAACACCCACACATAATATACATCTAGAAAATATATTACATATAGTGTAATTTGGTGCTGATACACATAAGTATCTATCGACATTATTATATACACATGCCTAAAAGAAAAATATACAATGTGACACATGTTATACAAAGGTTCCTATACAAAAAAGAAAAGAAAAGAAAGATCAATATACAATATCTATATATGTACACATGCTACAACATAATATATTCACATCAAAATCCTTTGAAACATCATCAGGAAAGCTTACCATTGCCCTTCACTTGCACAATACCACCTGCAACAATAATAATAGTGGGGTGAGATAATAATCTCAGTGGGTTTCCTATCTTATGGGTCCATTAGAATCTACAGGGATATCTTATCAATCATTAACTTAAGTCGTTCAACTTCTCCCTACTTGTGCTCACTTACACAATAGAACAAGGACTTAAGCATCTAAGGGATATTTGCATTGTACGGAAACATGTAACTTGAGTTTACATGATTCAAATAGATCACTATTCGGAGAATAACAAACATCCATTCCCGACCAGAACTTCGTCTAGGACAAGGACCCAGGCTCTAGATGTTATTCATGATTTGACTTTCCTGTGGATTCAGATTCTCAGGTATTTTGTCCCTCGTCAAGAATCGACACTCATATAGGACTCAAAACCACTTAGAGAATCTTTCTTCGTATGGGACTCGAAATCACTTTGAAGTATATGTGTCTATGGGACTCAGACCCACTTATGAGACATTTCCTCTATGGACTCAAACTATTTAAGAGGTGTAAATATAAGTGCCTACATCCAAATTAAACTTTACATAAGCATCTTAATTGGGATGTGCACCATCAAGGGTAGATTATGAATACATGATTAGGTTCATAAACTATTCACATGATTTCTCTCATTAATCACTAGGTGATCACATTCACTAATCTTATAATATAAATCACAAATGTTCCATACAAAACCTATTAGTTCACAATTCAAATGACTACATGAGTGAGGTACACACCGATATACTTTCGAGTCCAAGAATCACACTTAATTATCTTAATAACCTAACTCTTTATTACTAGTTCATTAACCTAGTTATTAGCCTAGGTTCGTCTCACTTTCATCCCGGTTAACTCAATTCTCAAGCATTCAAGTCAAACAACAAAACATAACATTTCTCATCATCACTAATTTAAGCATTATTCATATACACACATGATTTACTTCATTAATGGATAGATAATTGAATTAGCTTTCTAATGCATTTGACTGCTTCTTAATCGGGGTTACGAAACTAAAATTATATCATAAACAATGTCAGGGGAAAAACACAAATGTCAGGCTCGCTAGGCAAGCCAACATCTCGCTGAGAGAGGCTTAGACAGAAATTTGCGCTTAAAGCCCCAAGAAGTTGTTGAAGGCTCGTTGAGCGCCCACAGGCATGGCAGAGCGAGCATAGTAGAATTTCAACTTCCAGAAACACGATTTCAACCCTAAATCCCATTAATTTTTACACCCAAAACATCAATAAAACATGTATTACACAAATATACATGTATAAAAACCAGAACATCATATATCCAACATCAATTTTCAGGATCATAGCAAAACCACACAGGCCCTAAATCCTCTTTCATGATAATTTATCCCCAAAAGCTAAACTAATTCTAGAACCCACCTTGCTAGATGGAGATGATGAAAGATCGGAGATGAGATGATTGTGATTCAAGCTATTGATCTTCACTTTCAAACTTTTTTATTTTCCTTTCTTCTTTTCTCCTATTTTTTTCTTTCTTTTCTTGTTTTTCTTCTTCTTACTAACAATGATATAATGGGTGGGTAAGAGAGATTTAAGGTAAACATCTAAGGAAAGGTTATGGAAAAGAAAGATATAAGAACATATCTTATGGAAGATATTTCTTCTAGGATTTAATTGACTATTCATTAATGTTACCAAAATATTTTTTTAGTAATTAATAAAAGCAAATTAAAATAAATAAGAGTTGGACTCATTTGAGCTTACTAATTACTTTATCTGTCGTAACTAACAAGAATTAGAAAATATAGGAACTCAATTGATCTCAACTGACAACAAATAGAGTACTTACATGGATATGATATATTACAACTAATCAAACTTATCTTTTCTCCCAAGGGTGACTAAGCAACATTTTTCACAAGCGAACAATGTTTTATCCATTCCAACACGAAACAAGCAAATGCTTTATCCCACCCATGTGCAATGAACAAGCAACTCTTAACCACTCGAATGTCACCTAAACATTGTTCACTAAAGTCAACCAACCAACAATTTTTTTTGCTTAGAACTACGTAGTTTTGAGTTCTCCATTGCACCTGCTGATACGTAGGAGTAAGATTTAACGTCTCGTCAAGTACCCTAATAATAAAACCCTAGTTTTCCCCTTTCTTTCCTCTTGTAAATACAACATATTAATTAGAAAAAAATCAAATAACATAGGCTAACACTCATATTCACAAACCTAATTGAATGGTTCCCTGTTGAGTAGAACAGATGTGTAGAGTGCTAATATCTTCCCCGCACATAACCGACCCTCAAACCTGAATTTGGTTGCGATGACCATTTTTTTTCTTTTAAGGTTTTATCAATGGTTTTCCTTTAAAACAATAAAATTGGTGGCGAATCTTTTTTATTTCGAGCGTTCGTATGTTCGAGTATTTTTTACATCGTGACAGTAGGCTGTTGAGAATCGTGATTGTTAACGCCAAAATTACCAGAAAGTTGATTTATATTTTCTAGTGAAATGGTGTCCTGCTCTAAGCCTCCCTTACTAAGCAAATCCAACTCCTTTTCCCCAATATCCTCTTGACATGTAACATCAGCGCAAAAACCTCCTACCTCGTTACTCTTCTCGAAAATCAGGCTTTTTTCTTCCTCCTCCCAGCTTATCGAACTTGAGAATTCTTGAATAAAATTCTCCCCGGACCATGAACATCTTCTACCATCATGATTCTGAAAAGATTATCGTTGACCCTTACGTTGAGCATTTCGTTAATCGTCATTGCACACCTGATTTTAATCAAGAAGCTAGCAACATCCATATTATCTTGTCTAGATGTACTATCATCGCTACAAATGTAGTGGCCTACCGTCTTAGTTAAAAATTCAAAAAACTTGGAATCCATGCATTGCATTGGATGTCGTAGCATTTGATCCAAGTTACTCTTTCAGCATCTACATCATTTGTTTTCCAAGAACGAATCTCCTTGAACCACTAACTAAGTTAATCCTTGGCTTCCTCAATAAACACCTTCATCAGTTCCCTTTCCTCAACTTCCTCCAGCAAACACATGTTTTAGCCTAATGGCGTAACTTTGATTGAGAAATAACCCTCGATGTGAAATATATCATGAATATCATTAGCTAACTCAGGATAATCCACAATCCCTACACAAGCTTCCTCAAACATTTCCAGTGCATCTCCTTCTACCTTGAAACTCAGCTGATTGATTGTCTACTTAGAGGTTTGTTCTTTAGCTCTGTGGTTTGTTCCCGAGGAGTCTCTAACTCTCGTAACTTTTGTGTAAGTTCTTTTGTTAGCTCCATGCGAACTTCTAACGAACTTGTGAGCCATTACATGCTTGGTTTTCCATACCCTATCTTTTCCCCCTCGATCTTCCTTTACCTCCGTAGCTCTTCCTGACATTGCATGTATTGTGTGCTCAACTATTGTAATCAACTCAGAATACTCCGGTAACAAAATACAAACATTTGTTCTTTTATATCATGGTTATTAGTATTTTGGCATCGATGTATATAATAGTTAATGTGTCGACTTTCTTAATTCTCAGATTCATGGAGACTTAGAACGAATCTGAAAATGTGTAAAATATTTTCCTGATTATCTTAGTTTGAAAACTCAGGTGTGTAAAATATTTTCCTGATTATCTTAGTTTGAAAACTCAGGTTTATAGAGTTGGTTAGATAGCATAACTAACTTGCAACTGTACTTCTAACATATTAGGCAGCTAACTTATAACGGGTATAGAATTTACTGATATATACTCTTTAAATCAATCATGTAATTCTGGCAAATGGCTTGAACTTGCATCAATACTATACCAGTCATCCTTGAAAATCTAAATTAAAATTACTACAAATGTACATATCAAGAAAGGTGGTTTTTGCAATTTTTATAATAGGTAACAGACTCTAAACTTTGTGAGAAATTACAAAACTAACTAACTACCTACCTAACTAACTAACTAACTAATAACAAACTCTAACCAACTATTATATATATATTTCATCATATTTGGAAGAGTTAGATTTCAAAGCCTCGCTCAAATCACATCACCATGGCTAACAATTTCAATTTTGTCGAATTTATCGGTAATTTACCAGCAAACGTCCTTTTTGGGCCCTATTGGGGGCAATTGCAGATCATATTCACCACAATTTTTGTGCTTTCATTTTCTTCCTGCGCGATCTTCTTGCTAGTGATCACTTTTGGCCCCTCTAATATCAAGTTCCACGTAACTGAGGCTTCTCTCACAAAGTTCAAACTCTCAGGCAACGACACTTTGGATTACAAATTAGAAGCCAACATCACATCAAGAAATCCCAACAAGAACGTTGAAGTACACTATATGAGGACGACCGCAATTGCATGGTACAAAGATAACGAGTTTGCTAGAGTGGATCTGTCATCTTTTGATCAAGGCCACAAGAGTACCACTTTTCTGAATGTAGGGTTTGAAGGGAAGAGTGTGATCAGACTCAAGCCTAAACAGCTTTTCGAGTTTAATGAAGAGACGCGCGTAGGGATCTATAATGACTTGGCTATTGATCTGGATTTTTCAATCACGTATAAGTTTGGAATTCACAAGAGTTGGCCCTTCGAACCACCAATTGTGAGATGTCGTCGATTGAGTGTTCCTTTGATTTCTAATGGTAACTCATCATCAGCACCTCCTTTTCAGCATTTCAAGATTTCAAGATGCAGAACTGGTGCTTTCTTCGTTAATCGATAATCCTCTGTAGCATTTCAAGATTTGCTTAGTTTTAGTTTTCAGATGAAAGTTTGAGAGTATTTTCTAGCCTGTTATGGAATAGTTATCTCGTGCATTTCATTTCAGTTTTGTTATTCAATGCTTATAGTAATACTATAATAAGAAATTTTCTTTTGTTGAATTCTATATTCAGAGACAATTATATCAACATTGGGGCCTTCTTTAATCTTCGAGTTATTGACAGCACTATTGTTCTTTTATTTCCAGAATGATGTTGGGATTATAAAATAAAGTGTCCAATTTTTGGTTTAGTTAATGCATTACTTAAATCTTTCACCAAAATACATATTATATTGGTGAATGAGCTTTAATTCTTTCACCAATCTACTGTCAAGGAGCTTTTAAGTCTTTCACCCTCAAACATATAATTAGTTGAATTAACTTGACTTCTATCCCTACGCTATATAAGGGTAAATGTAATTGAATTATTATTGAGAATTTTTTTTAAACCGGGTATGTATTATAAATAAAATACCATTTAAATGTCATTTTCAAAAAATTTACGAAAGCAACTACCTTTCAACAGGCAGTCGTCAATTAGTTTGGCGAAATAGGCAAAAGCCAAGAAAAAAATTCAACGACGGTCGCCAATTGAAATGGCGAAATTGACAAAAATGAAAGAGGTCGCCGTCCCATTTGGCGACATTGGCTTGGATTAGAGTTCCAATATTTCACATATAAATAAATATTAATAACATTTATTTATAAATATTTTCGAATTAATAAATATTTTGTGAAATAATTTAATAAATATTTTAATTACCTATTAAATACATTAAGTTTATTATTAAATTTTTAAATATTTTAATAAATATCTTAATTATTTATTAATAAATATTTTCAATAAATTATGTTGTTTGGTTTTGCATAATAAATTAAAATTTAAATAATCTTAAAATAAAATAGAATTGTAAAAAATATTAAAAAATATTAATTTACAATATAATGAAAATTACAACAACAACAAAAATTAATGGTCGGCTCTATCCAAGCGACCACCGGTGCCACACTGCGGAGGATGCGCGCTGCAACGAGGTCTATGACGAGGTTGTTGTAGTGTGTCGGGTCGTTGTGTGTTGAGTTGTGGAGGAGGGTTTTGTTGGGACGGACTCGGTGTATCAGATAGATTTTGCAGCATTTGACCCCAATAGCCGGGAGGTCCACCGTCGACGGCGCTGCCGTAGTAAAACCCAATGCCCATGTTTTCGAAGGATTGTCGGGGAGGTTGGGTGGAGTATGGACGGTATGGTTGTCCGAATGTGTACATGGAATTGGGTTGGTTTAGGTGTGTTGGTTGTTGTGGAGTGTGATAGTCAAATAGTGGATAGTTTGAGGGGTAGTTGAAGGGGTAGTTAGAGGGGGTAGGGTCAAATGAGTTGTTTGGGCTATAGGTGGAAGGGTAGGCTCAAAAGACATATCAGGGCTATAATGGTATGGTGGTTGAGGCTGGGACTGGGTGGGTGGCATTTGTTGTTGATAGGGGGTATTTGTTGGCATGTATGGATTTTCGTAAGGCTGATTTTGGACGCTGAACTGTTGTTGTGTGTTTGACGATGAAGCGCGTTCCCTTGGATCGACCAAATAGGTTGGCTGGGACAGGAAAGACTGAGATGTCGTGACAGACCTAAACCAAGTCATATATTGAAGACTTGGCCTAGCCCCGTGCACAATACGGTCGGTTAAGACGTGTTGTCGTCTTCTATTCCAGTGTTTACGCAAGTCCTTCGCAAACTCCTTCCAATCACTGACACTCCACTGTGAGTCCACACGTTTTTGATGCCACTGCCCCAACTCTACCGGAGCATCTGGAATATCCTGGTGCATCCCAAATTGTAGCTTCACCCGGTCACTTTGGTGCATCTCCACCGTAGTGAACCTAATTATGGGTGTTTTTGATGTCCACACAACAACATCATCAGGGTTGGGTTGGTGGTCGAGACCCTCGTACGGCATCCAGACAAACTACAATAAAGGTGGACAAATGAGTTAGACAGAGATATACAAGTTTATGCATATACATTATAAAAATTAAAGGTAAATAACTTACATCGTCTGGCCCAAGATGGTCGATGAGGTTGCGGTATTGAATTATAGAGTGCCTGAGACATCTCTGATAAATCATCCCTGGAACAGACCACCTAAAAATAATAAACACATATGAATTAGCATCTAAAACACATCTCACAAATTATTAACTTAAACGAAAATGTAGTTTACAAATATTCTAGAAAAGAAACTCACTTGTTGGCGTACGTGAATGTAAAAGAATTCCGGTTTATTGGAGCAAGCGTCGGCATCCTAGACCAACCCCACGCTTGCAGGAGATAAGCGCAACCATAAAATGTACATGAGTTTTTTTTTGGAAGTTTTGCAAAGTGCGCTATACAGATGGGCGAGGACAGCTGATCCCCAACTATATTCGCACACTTTGTTAATATTTTGCAATAATGATAAATACATAGTATGGACGGTATTTCCAGTGCCCTCTGGAAATAAAAAATGACCGGACAAAATCATAATATAGCACTGTGTTTTGACTATTATGTCATATTCGGTGCTATCATCAGTTAAGACAATACTGCTGTATTGTTCTCTGAGGTATTTTAAATTAATTCCCTGACTTCCCGTGCGGCCCTCGCTTTCCGCCTGAGGTGCGTCCACACAAAGAGGGGCGCCCAATAAATCTTCGCAAAGTCGGTCAGGGACACCAACTTTGCCATTGACGGCCTTACCATCGATGTGTAGGGCGAGCAACATGTATACATCTTGGAGAGTCACAGTAACTCACCAAAAGGTAGGTGAAATGTATGTGTCTCCAGTCTCCAGCATTCTAACAACACTAGAATAAACTTCGTATCTAGAGAGTAAGATTTGATTTGGATCACATCACCAAACCCACAACTACGAAGGTACCCCTTTATGAGGGGGTCGTGTGGTATGTAATCATGCACACGACATCGAAACCTTGATACATCCTGCAAAATAATTAATGTTTCGTTAGACAAGAAGTAAAATACTTAACATTTTACTAGACAAGATTGTAGACATAACTAAGAACTAAAAACTTACAAACTCTGCAATGTTTTCAGCCGTGTCTCTATGAGAGTCGCCCATGGTGAGTAAAGACATTGTAGAGATGTTGAGTTTGAGAGTTGAGACTTTGAGAATTTGAGGGTTTGAGAGTTTTACAGTTTAGAGAATTTGGGAGGTTGAGACTTAGAGAATTTGAGGGTTTGAGAGTATGAGTGGTTGAGAGTAGGAGAGTTTAATTGTGAGGAGAGTTTGATGGGCAAAGACCCCAGATTTATATTCCACGAGTGGATGTGTGTTGTAAATGCACGTTGGACAAGTGTACTGATGCATGTGTGCTGGAAATGTATGTTGGACAAGTGTCCTGATGCATGTGTGTTGTAAATGCGTGTTGGACACTCAAGCAGGCTACATACAGGATCACATGTGAAAGGCGGATTTCTTCAGTGTCCCGTCTCATCAAGCATGATGCTTGCAGGATTACATGTGAAAAGCATATTCCTTCATTGTCCCGTCTCATCAAGCAGGCTGCATGCAAGGTCACATATGAAAAGCAGATTCCTTCATTGTCTCGTCTCATCAAGCAGGCTGCATTTCATTGATTGCATATTAAGCCTCTGTGTTTCACATGTTTTTGTCGTTGATTGCATATTAACCGTAGTGTGAATTTTTCTTATTATGGTTTATCCTAAATTAAAAACATATGATTTTTTTTGTTTTTTTGATGGATGATAATTTATACAGATTAGAGATTTTTTATTATTGTTAAATGTAGCACGTGCGCAAATAATCAACTATGTGAAAAACGGATGCAGGGCCACATGTGAAAAACAAATTTCTGCATTGTCCCGTCTCATCAAGCAGGCTGCACGCAGGGTCACATGTGAACCCAAGATTCCTGCATTGTCCCGTCTAATCAAGTCCTGATGCATGCAGAAAGAGAATCTCGTAGGCCTGCATGGTCAATGTAGGCATGCAGGGTCACATGTGAAACGCAGAAGGGTGACAAGCATGTTGCATGAAGGGTGACAAGGTAAACGGATGCGTGACAAGTGTCCTGCTGCATGTAATCGGTTATCAAGCATGCTGCACGTAGATTTAATTGAAATACATGTAAAAAAATCTTTGTCTCAAACACCACAATATATGATTTCGGCACATCTTATGGGTGAAGTTTTCGAATGTGAAACATCTGGTTACAATTTCAGAAACACTGATGTTACAAGATTTTTAATTGATAGAAGGTCTAATTTTTTACACCTGAAGTCAAGAATAGAAAAAAAAACTGAAATGTGGTCCAGTTGGGCAAATAATATACAAAAACCCAGTGTTTTTTGCCGGCCAAGTCGAATGTAAATTTGTCCCGTTAAAGGTACGAGACGATGAAGATGTGCGTAACATGTTCCGAAGTCACGAGTATTCCGGTTTCTCATATATCATGTTATATGTTATGTTACTGCAACAACAACTTTCTCAGCAACTTGATTCTTCTCAAGTTTTTTGCGATTCTGACGATGAACACGACGAAGTCAATGTTGTTGACGAAGAAGAAGAAGCAACTGAAGTCGCTGTTGACGATATGGTCAACAACTAGGAGGACGGGGTTCCACCCGACAATGTTTATTGTCCACCTCCACACATGACAACTCTCGACTTGGGTGACGATGAACCCTCGACGGATGTTTTCTACAATCCCAACTACGCAACAGAAGGGCAACTAAAGGAGGGTGACGATTTTCGTACCAAAGAAGATTGTGTCCGGGAAATCAAACGGTTTCACATGGGGTTGTCAGCCGATTATATAGTCGATTGGACAAATCCGACGCGGTATACGATATATTGTCGTAACGAGGAGTGCCCCTTTTGATTAACGACGTCTTTCAGAAAGAGAAGCGATTCCTGGAAGATAGGGTCCATAGGTCCGTCCCACA